GATAAGCTCTCGGCAAGGAGGAATGGAGAGAGAACACGGGGGAGGATCCGACAGGATCTTCTTCAGGGAGGGGTGTAGGACACTCAGGAGGGGTGCACTCCATAAAATAATCACCAAGAAGATGCAAGGAAAAGTGAATTGAAGCATGCAAAGTCTCAGAAGTGTGTGACCACTACTRCACCCATCAGCTGGATCCCTTGAAACAAGCTTATAAACTCATGCGGACACTTTTCAGCGAATGCATATSTATATTACCTCATCACATCGTCGATATATTTACGAAKTTCAGGTACAATGTGATAACGCAGTTTGTTTGTGAAATTCACAATTTCCTGCAAGACAAATCAAACAGATATGCGTATTACTTCATTGGCTTAAACAATTTCACAAACTCTGGTTTATTTCGCAGGTGTACGCAAATATAGCTGGGGATGAACAAGGGCTTAAAAATAGAATTGTTACAAAGGGATTTACATTAGAATCTCACCATGTAGGATTTATTATCTATCATAATGTCTTTGCTGTTCTTCTCATCCAGTATTTGTACAATAGTGTCTTTATGTGCCATCAGTCGCGCGTTTGTTGTTACGATTAAGCAATGAATGTGACTTTTCCGTATTTTTTCTCGCGTATTATTCCTCGGTATCTCAAAGGAGGTGATATATGTTGCCGGCTTATCTGCAATATAAATTGTGATACTGATTACAGCGGGAGTTATTGTGACAGCGGTTCCCGATATGGAAGTATGAAACCTCAGCATGGTTAAAAACTCGACCTTGCCTCGTTTTGTTTTGCACTCAAACTTACTTGATAGGTAGGCTTGTTTTGAAACTTTCTCAGGGTCGATCCTTACTAAGATATCAGTAATAACGCAAAGGAAATGACTGAGGGCTTTTTCAACCTTCTTCACCATATTAAAATGATCTTTGTTCATCACATAAGCTTCATCGACGCGTTCAATGGCGTGCAGTACCGTAGCAATGTTRCAACGATATGGAAAGTAGGTTGAAGGTTTTCCGCATTTGGTACGATTCCGTCGTTTCTTGTGTTTCTTTCTTTTCGCTTGTTCTGCAGGTTTCATTTTAAAAATTTTACGCTGTTTGAAGAAGAATTCCTGTCCACGTTGGTCGAAAATGCACAGTCTTTTTTCAATCTCTTGTTGTCCATCCTCTGGGCTCTCAAACTTATGTTTTAAAAGATGMGATGTATCTCTCATGGCTTTCTCTTTTAACTTCTCTTCTAGATATTCCTCGTGTCTTTTTTGGTCTTGTTTGATTTCTCTCAGTTTCTTTAGATTGGCTTTTTGTGTTTTAACAAGGTCAATTCCAATTAAAACAAGTTTCAGCATTTGAGCACTTARCTTGTAATACATCCTCATTTTGTTTTTCTTGTTGTTGGAGTACTCTACGGCTCGCTTGAGAAGGAAGCTTACTTTCTTCCTTAAACTTTTGATACAGAAATCGATTCTTGGTGTACGTTCAACGTCACTTCTTTCACGTTTCAGCTGCAAAAAAGCAAGTAATTCAATTTTAAAGGAATGCCAAAGATATGTGTTCTACTACAAGTGGTCGATAAGATGAGGCACGGAAATTCAAAACTCCTTATGAACCAAGCTGTTGCTTCATGTTTTGTTTAATTCGCTCGTTTCAATTTCGTGTCGTTTTATTTCACTTGTTTTGCTCTGATTTGCTGCGTTTTGCAATGTTTTTTGATCGGTTCTTTGCCTTCTTACTTTAACTTTGTTTCGTTCTGATTATTTTGCATGATTTGCTCGCCTTACCTTACAAATATAGCGAAATATCCTCCATATCAAATGCAAACCGCATAAAATTGACACGATGAKAGATGTGACTTTCAGGTTGCTGTAAGCGATCTTAGCCACCTGTATATAAGGAGTTATAAGAACAACTATTGTATTAATACAAGGCTGGGCAGCACGCAAAAGGAGGTGAAGCATCTAACCTCCAATTAAACGCAGAATGACTTCATAAAATACTAGCACAATGCTCTGAAGAACGTATCGTGTTAGTCTGAGCTAAATTATACTAAAGAGTTTATACGTACCATATAAAACGTCCATCCCAGTGCGTACGAAAGAGCAATGACAAAGAATAAAAGAATAGCGAACGTAGCCAATAAGCATACTTCCTACAGWGCACAATCAAAAATAATCAAATATTAAGCTTCTAGAACGTTTGATCGCAAATTAATGATAGAACACGTTGAGCACAATAATCTTTCAGAGCTGTAAAAATAACAGACCAATTACTCAAAGATTGTTTTGYTTTGCGTTTTTCTTACCACTCTTTTGTCAATTGGCATCTTTTCTTTTCTTGATTTTAAGTTTCATTTTGATTGCACAAATTAACTTCTTTCAAGTTCTGCAAATTTGCTTTAATTTGATTTTATGACGTCATGGTATTCTAATTTGATAATCGAATATTCGCGCGCAGTGCATGATGCCTGATCAAATCTCCGCGTTGTTAGTATCTCTATAAATCTTTATTTTATAGTTTTCTTTCGTTTTTGTGTAAGTTGGATAAAATAAGATTTCAAAAAGCAAGAGAAAGAATGAAACATGACTGACATGAAATTCGAACTCCGAATTTTAAACCAAAAGTTTAAAGAGAAAAAAAAACGCAAAAAACCATACAACAAATATTGTTCACCGCTATCTTGGCGTGGCCATTGAATTATAACCCGAGCTATAAAGCGGCAGAATGAAGTATAGGGGAAAAGGGTGGTTAGTTCATAGTACTCTCCCCATCGACTCTCGCCATCGATATAAGTGATATGGTGCCTACAACCGTCCCCACTCCCACCCTGTCAGTATTCACTAAGACCCATCGGCGAGATTACTTTAGCCCGTTTATCTAACATTAGTAAGGTGGCACTTAAGTAGTATGTTGAAATCGCGATTAAAGCAAAATATCTTCCGCATTTTTCGCTCTTTCGCAACATGTCGGATTTATATTTTTATMTGAAGTACATCGACTTGRATTTTAAACCAGATTTATAACTGAAGACGTCCTTCACAAATTACCCGAGTCATTAGTAGTTCGTGAAGAGAGTGCCTGAAGGCATATTTTATATTAAAAAAATACAAGAAACACTAGAAATACTTAGAAGACGAAGACGCGGTATTTATATTCATTACGACAATGATTAGTTTGCTTACGATATTCCGGTAATGAATTTAGTTATTTAAAAAACCAGTATATTGCATTTGATTTCTGTGCTGAAATTGTCTCGATTTTTTTGCTATCAATGCTTGTGTTTTGGGCTCAGTTATTAGCGCGCAGAAGAGAAAATTCGTGTATTATAGAGTTAGGCACATTTACATTATTCAGACACGCCTCTCTGCATGCCCCCTGTACTCAAACCATGTATGATTGATGTCTGCTGGTATACATAAAACCAAGAAACTGTATTCATATATGAATTAGAGGAAACAGAGAATCAAAAAGTTGCGCTTGCATTTGTTAAGGGAATAAATGAAATAATTTGTACAATCTATTCCGTATTCTTCACAAAGTAATTGTTAAGCATGTAGTTGCTGATTTTGGGTAACCACAACGTACTTTAAGCATTAAATAAGCATGTACAACTGTATTTTATCTGCCAATTCTACTGAGCCTTCACTACTACATGTTCGCGTCTTTGATATTTTCGAGTCAAAAATGTTTCTTTTTTTCTCAGCGAACGTCCCTGCAAGACAAGGGACACCATTGACAACCAAAAAGTATGCCGATATCTTGTATTTCAGTGTTACGCGTATATATTGGACCACTCCTAATGGCTTGAATCAGTATGTAATGCACTTAAATCAGACAATCTGACTCTTTTCCACAAACTAAAAGGCTGTCAAGTGATCAGTAGCCAATCGAACATTCRATCACGCAATCACATCCAAATCGAACACATGATCAGCCAATCCGATCTTCTGCTTGATATAAAGCACAGATTTGTCAACTTGGTGAGATACGTACTAGTCAAACTCTGATTCATTTTTAACTATCGAATACTTGATCGCTCAGTCATATAGCAGACTTAGTGATGAAACGATCCAATATGTAGCAACTCTTGTTAAGAGATTTGCTCGCAATCGAACGTTTGATCTACCAATCACGTCATTACTTCATTCAGATGAGATTAGGGATTTGGCTTCATGGGAGAGAGATGTACGCTATCTTTCTTACGCTTTGTTCATTGAATCACGACAATATTAACGTTTTGTTTAAATCAGCTGAAGTCAATTGGATGCATTACACTATCGAATGGAACCACTAGCAATCTTGCAGCTCCAAGATGCAGAACTCGGTCAATTTTACCAACTGTACAGAAACAGCGTCCTACAAGAAGGTCTTTTTGGCTATAAGCCTCTTTGAAATGATAATCTCAGTCTTTGGTTCAGCGGGAAATGCGTTAACRTGTTTTGCTGTTGTAAGAAATAGAAATCTACACAGTGCTACGAACTTCTTTGTCGTCTCCTTAGCAACGGCCGACTTTCTCATTACATCYATTCTTGTGCCTGTCAGAGCAGCTGAACATTTCTCAATATACCGTGAAWCRTCTCCTCCTGGTGCTACTCTGCTTAAAGTTGCAGTTTTYATAGGTAGAGYAACAATCTTGGCATCATTATCAAGTCTAGCTACATTAAGCATCGATCGATACATGGCTCTTCGCTATCCAATCAAATACAGAGCGTCTATTCGATATAATTTCACACGMACATTCGTGGTTATTGCAAYTCTGTGGATTTCTTCGTTGTTAATTACGACAATCCCTTTATTTCCTGGAGTAAGCGGCCTTCAAGGCCTCTTCATTTTTGTAGTGCTAGTATTTTTAATGACGTCTATCATGATTATAAGCAGCTGGAAGGTTTTCAGGCTTTTAAARCAACTCTCTTTACGATTAAGRCACTGCACACTAACCTCCAGTTCTCTCTCRTCGAATCACTTTTCCAACTCGTCAAACCGGTTTCTCCGCCCGTCAAGCCTGTTTTTCCGCAAATCAAACCATTGCTCYAACCMGTCAATGCAGTCAGACCAGTTTATTCGKCGAAATAAGACGACTTGTCGTTATACTGAGATCCAAAGCTCGCCAAGAGTAACCAGACCAAGATCGCAAAGTATGCCGGGACTAAACAGGATTTCTAGACTCAAAACKTTTGATAACAAAGCTTTTAAATGTGACRAYGTCCAGCCAGTGAAACTGTTGAATATTACTCCATGTGWGAACGGTCATAGRGAACYTGACGGAGAATTTACYAACTTGAATCCACAGTCAAATCGATCAGCTGTTGTACCYAGTCCTTCAATGAGCCTGCGATTTAAAGAGTCAGGTGCTATACCTAGAAATAAACTGAAGACGCAACACAATGGCTCAGCGGCTACCCATAATCCAGTGCGGCAGCTAGCTGATGGTTACATTGCCAAGACGATWGTCATTATTGTAGGAACTTTTGTATTGTGCATATATCCAAGAATTTTCCTGATAATTTATCACTTAAATTTTCCAGAAACGCCGCGAACTCATATCTGCCGKCTSTGGTTAAAAGTGTTACTCTACATGAATTCTGTTATTAACCCAGTACTATATGCATGGAGATTTAAGGATTTTAGACGAGAATTTGTCAATCTTATAATAACGTTAAAGAAAACACTATGCTACTAAGGTATTGGTGGCCGTTCGCAGCTATTCTCACTGTCGGGCTTCTCGTCCTTTGAGAGAAGGACTGGAATAGAAGGACAGGAAACCCGACAAAAGGAAGGCCTCGAAGGAAATAAAGGAATTTTAGCATGGAAGCTGACCGTATAAATTTTGTCCAGTGTAATGTGATTTGAAGAGCCTTTAGAGAAACTGACATGCGCAAAAGGTCACTGTAGTTGTTAACAGAAGGCYAAAAAACGAAGAGTAATTATCATATAATTTTGCTGAATGACAATTTTTTTCCACCACATAATCAATACGTTGTTGCTGTTGCTACTTTTGTTGTTTTTATTTTGTCCATAAAGACTATGCCAGCCATTTCCCACAGGGGATGAAGAGGATTGATGATGATATACCGTAAGTCTAAAACCCGAACATAGGGGTACATTTCATGAATGTATGATCAAGAATTGAACACCTGCGTCAGATGTTATCAATCACTTACACATGTAAACAGCATTATTAAAATAAACATTGAAAAAAAAAGTTCCATCCGATCAGAAAAACTAGTGACTGAACCTGCTCAGTCTTAGTGTATTTGACATCGACTGTCTTACCATTTTTGCTTCTACAAATTTCACCCCAACATTTTGCAACAATAATCACTGAAAAACGAGGAAACATGGCCMATAAAGGAAAAAYACTTTTACATTTACCTCAATATTTCATGTTGACATAATCTTAATGAAATRTCGTCATTGCGCCARCCTTTTTACTCAGGACAAAAATGGAATTTTAGTGGCATTAAGTGAATTACTTTCTAGAGGGAAATTAGATCGAAGTGTTTCAGTTCTGTTGTAAAATATTTATTTAGTTAATTGTAGCATCTAGAACGTCTTAGTTGACATTGAAACAAGAAAACTTTCATGCTTAACTTCTACAAAAACACGTTTAGCTTTATAGCGTTGCCACATTTAAACAAATCACAGTRGCSAAAGGAAGCTTATTAACTGAGACAAAAGAAAAATGAAGGTTTACATGCTCTTTGCGCTCCTCCAGTTGTYCATGGTAGAGCAAAAATTTCAAGCAGCTAGCGCAGTAACTRTTAATAACTACWTTRGTGYYGGTGGAAGTAACTCRACTCTTCTGGTGAAGCTGATGAGATCTTTGCTTTCAGAGCTGAAAAAGACCAATGTCGGTACATGTCCCAAGGGTGAGCTTTTCTGGCTTGCAAGGCATTTCGTGTTTGAGGGTCTTACTTAATTATCGCAGACAGTCGAATAGCGATGTTGCATATATTGTAAGGKATTCGGACTSTCACTGGAAAAAATCGCGCGCTTTAAAGGTTGTAAATTTGATGTAAATATGATGTAAGTGTCCAAAATTCTGTAAATTTGATGTAAATGATTTYCGCTAAATGTACAGAATTTTGGACACTYACATCATATTTACATCAAATTTACAACCTTTAAAACGCGCGATTTTTTCCAGTGTGTATCCTTCCTTTTCAAGTTCTTACTTGAATACTCGAGTATACGCGATAAATTACTCGCTTAGGAATTTAAAATTTCCATTTTCCATGACGCCAGGTATGATTATTAACATGAATAGTCTCACATGTTATAGACTTGAACACGAAGCTCCTGTAATGATCCAAAACTTACTCACGGTTTGTTTATTTTTTAATGGCTCACGCATTGCTTCTAGTTGCCAAGAACTGTTACGATGTTCTACAATGTGGTGGGAAACAAAGCGGTGTGTATTCTGTGAACCCTGACGGAAAAGGAGAATTCCAGGTAAAAGAATTCCAGKAAASAATTTCAAGTCTAGAAAACAAAACCAAGCTTAAACTCYCCATCGTAGTAAAGCATCGGTCTTACGCTTGTATCAAACTAATAGATCACAGTCGTGGAGAAGATGGCCATGATTTACTGGAAAAAATCGMGCACTATAAGGTTGTAAATTTGATGTAAATATTATGTAAGTGTCCAAAATSATGTAAATTTGATGTAAATGATTTACATCAAATTTACATCACTTTATAATATACTTATAAAATTTACAACCTTAAAAGTGCSCGATTTTTTCAASTGATTTCACTATTTCCTCTTCTACTAGCATAACAAACACAACATTAATTTTGTAAATTAAAGATTCCCGTACAAAGATATCAATAGCTGATCAGTGTCATATACATTATCTACAGGTGTACTGTGACCAAAAAACTTCAGGAGGGGGGTGGACAGTTATCCAGAAAAGAAAAGACGGCTCGGTAGACTTTTACCGTGGTTGGAATGATTACAAAAACGGTTTCGGAGACCTAAAAGGAGAGTTCTGGCTTGGTCTCGATAAAATTAACCGACTGACCCATCAAGTTAAAAACCGTCTTCGTGTTGATCTGGAGGATACCAAAGGAAAGGGCGCGTATGCCGAGTACGACTACTTTGCTGTAGCTAGTGAACAAAGCAAGTACAAGCTTGGCATTGGGACCTACTCAGGTAAATGAACAGCGTTGAATTATAACAATGTTCGGGTAGTCTTTACGAACTAAATAATTGACATGGCTATTATCATTATCTTTTCCAGGTACAGCTGGTGATTCATTGTCTGGTCATCGTAACTTTGCTTTCTCCACCAAAGACCAGGATAATGACGCGAATAGCGGCAGCTGTGCCGTGTTGTATAAAGGTGCTTGGTGGTATACCAGTTGTCACGGCTCCAACCTCAATGGCCTGTACCATCACGGTCAGCACAAATCATATGCTGATGGTGTTAACTGGTCTGCCTGGAAAGGTCACAACTATTCAGCTAAGAAGGCCGAGATGAAAATTAAGCCCGCCAACATAAAACGTAAATAGTTTTGATGAAGCTCGCAACATTTTACGGCTATTATGAACAAGTAGAATCGAAAGTAGAAATAAAAGAACTGAGTAAAACACAACATTGTATGTGAACTTTGCTTGATCCATAGTCATGAACTCCTCTATTCAAACGATCTTCGTTTGAAAAGATGTAGCTCTCTTCCAAATACTAACGGCCTTGCCCCATCTAAAAGGTCTTTGTTAAAAGGTCCCTGTTCATTAAGGGTTATCATCCGAGCCTCTGTACTTTTCAAAGGAAGGTTACATTCCCAATCTCAAAGCCTCTTCATTTCATATTTGGGTCGTTTGTATCTCACTGTCGTCTGTATTCCCCCTCCATAACTCTGCAACCTCTACAGAGCTTGAGGAATATTTGAACTCGGGATTTTAACAACTTCACGTTTTGGCTCTAATCTTTAGCGTTCGATAACAGGCATTTGCCGATAAGAGAAATAAAAAAGCCACTCCCACAAAACCAGGCTATCAAAAACAATCTCATCTTAAAGGAAATGGGATCTGAAAAAATTTTGAAACAAGACACTATCAAACAGAATTTCTATTGACTGAAATATAGCTACAGAAAAACATGATCAAAACGGAGATCGATCAAATGCAGATTCGATGTGTATTGTCATGTATAACGACGATTTTCATGTGCCCCCTAGTATAGGGATAACACTCACTAGGGGTGCTTGAGTATTGCCAAGATTAATACCCCCTCCCTCCCCGGCCCTACCCCCCATAGACCTGTCCTGAGATTGAAGGTAAAACTGCCTATCTTAACAAATTAAACATTGAAAGAAAAAACACACTTACGTATTGAATTATAGTACATGTAATGCTGATATCCTATTATAAATCCTCGCTCTTCTCTTAGATGACTTTTCTTGTTTGTTATAAAAGTTATGACCAGTTTCTTAGCATTATTGAAGATGATGGAGAATGGCTTTTTAGATCCACAATACTGGAGTTGTTTCTCACCTTAAAAAATAGCAAAACTCTATCCTTAATAAGGGGCTGGTCAGATAGTCAAGGTGTTAAAGGGGGTTGGGACCAGAAGGGGTGATAATAAAATTAAAAATAAACTAATATTAAATGAACAAAAAATCTCAATCGTCTCCAGAAATTTGTAATTACAATCATTAATCTACCATTTGGTCTCCAGCCCCCTACACCCTCAGCTATATTCTGACCATTCTTTTATAAGCTAATGTGCTTACCATGCTTAATAAAAAGCTGATCTGCAATACTACCATTCAAACTGCATTTCTGTTGATGCCAATGATACCTTAGACTAAATGCCATGACTGACAGCTTKACTGAGTGATGCTCTGGGAYRGTGATGAYCCATTTCTGTTTGAATTCTTCATGTGGGTACTTTACTGGCCAGTGAATGGAGGATAGCTCTCCAGAACTGCTATTCAAGTATGATGGACTAAAACAAACATAGATCAATCACTCATTGATATTTCAATAAAAATTCCTGCAATGCAAAATGGTACAGGATGACAGTCTTTATCGTCCTAAGAAGTTGGATTTTGGAAATGGGATTCTCACTAAGAAAGTAGGGAAAAGCTTGAAATTTGATAAAATAGCTGGGACATTTGTACCTTACAAATGGGAATTGAATGTGTAAATGGGAATGGAAATTGTCAATTCAAGACCCTTCATGACCAGTTCATTACAAATAGTTATCATATAATTTTTCACCTGTGTCTGATATTCTGATATGGCAGTGCCTCAGAGGTATAATAGCCAATAGCTAAAGTCTTGTAGTGTACATAAATCTTTTGATCTCTGCTGCCATCACTGTGAAAAACCACAGTCATGCACTCATCTACAGAAAACATCTTGTGAGGTACTTGGTTCTCACCACAGAATCGCCCAATAGAAGATGGTATACATCTAGTGAAGGACATCAGGCTGATTAAGATGAGCAACTAAGACCCTGTTTACATGAGATAGGGTGCCCCTAGTGGTAGGGCCAAAATCCTTTGTTTTAAATCCTCCAGGGAAAAGAAAAGCCCTACCACGTTGGGGCACCCTATCTCATGTAAACAGGGTCTAATAATAATATCATAAGAGTAAGTGACAACAGTAATCAAGAAGAGAACTTAATAGAAATAATGACCACGACTTGGAAAACAGTACCTTTTATATGATATGGAAAATGTATATAATCACGTGACCAATAGCACATGTTCGTGAGTTTGTAGTTTTGTCTAGTATTATTAGAATTTTAGGCACTCGAAAAATAAATATTCCTCTATTCTTTTTATTCTACACATAATCAAAGCAGCACTGCATAATAGTAAACAACCTGATAACATTAAATGTCTCGCAAAACGACAATTAAGTTTCACGGCTTGTAGTTTGCACTCTATGGAAAATTTCTTTATTCAAACGAAACAATAATTGAAAAATCTGTCCATACCTACCCAATAAAGATCTCCACAAAATTAGACAAACAGTCTGGCATTTTATCTTGAATANCAAGTATGATGGACTAAAACAAACATAGATCAATCACTCATTGATATTTCAATAAAAATTCCTGCAATGCAAAATGGTACAGGATGACAGTCTTTATCGTCCTAAGAAGTTGGATTTTGGAAATGGGATTCTCACTAAGAAAGTAGGGAAAAGCTTGAAATTTGATAAAATAGCTGGGACATTTGTACCTTACAAATGGGAATTGAATGTGTAAATGGGAATGGAAATTGTCAATTCAAGACCCTTCATGACCAGTTCATTACAAATAGTTATCATATAATTTTTCACCTGTGTCTGATATTCTGATATGGCAGTGCCTCAGAGGTATAATAGCCAATAGCTAAAGTCTTGTAGTGTACATAAATCTTTTGATCTCTGCTGCCATCACTGTGAAAAACCACAGTCATGCACTCATCTACAGAAAACATCTTGTGAGGTACTTGGTTCTCACCACAGAATCGCCCAATAGAAGATGGTATACATCTAGTGAAGGACATCAGGCTGATTAAGATGAGCAACTAAGACCCTGTTTACATGAGATAGGGTGCCCCTAGTGGTAGGGCCAAAATCCTTTGTTTTAAATCCTCCAGGGAAAAGAAAAGCCCTACCACGTTGGGGCACCCTATCTCATGTAAACAGGGTCTAATAATAATATCATAAGAGTAAGTGACAACAGTAATCAAGAAGAGAACTTAATAGAAATAATGACCACGACTTGGAAAACAGTACCTTTTATATGATATGGAAAATGTATATAATCACGTGACCAATAGCACATGTTCGTGAGTTTGTAGTTTTGTCTAGTATTATTAGAATTTTAGGCACTCGAAAAATAAATATTCCTCTATTCTTTTTATTCTACACATAATCAAAGCAGCACTGCATAATAGTAAACAACCTGATAACATTAAATGTCTCGCAAAACGACAATTAAGTTTCACGGCTTGTAGTTTGCACTCTATGGAAAATTTCTTTATTCAAACGAAACAATAATTGAAAAATCTGTCCATACCTACCCAATAAAGATCTCCACAAAATTAGACAAACAGTCTGGCATTTTATCTTGAATATTGAATACAGTAAACCAAAGTTTGATGTAATTTCCTGGCATCGTCTTGATATTTACTATGCAGTGTTGTTGACGTTGTTTATGTTTATTACATGCTTTGGTCTCGATAAGAAAATCGTCTTCAATGAGTGTAAGGCCTGCAGGAGTGCTACAGTCCTTGATTTCTCTTCCAAAGCATTGCACTCGTTGTAATATGACCACTAAACATAAACAAAATAAAAACATGCTAAACCTCCAAGGTGCGAGAACGTTCAATTACGTCATAATTCAATCCACCAATGCGGTTCTCGCTGTAAATGAAATACACGTGACACTTACTCCCATTCCTACAAAGGATTTGATTCTTCAGTAAGCCAAACATAGGCAGTCGAGCACTGCTTGTGACTCAGGCCATTTAGAGATTTAGTAAACTTCGAATACACTATCTTCAGTATACAACGTTTTCTGAATTATCTGTATGTGCTGCAAGGAACTGGAAGCATCACGTGGCGATCAACCATTACGTTGCTTATGAATACACAACAGGCAGCGATTCCCAGGGGCCAAGGAACCTATTGTGATGGTTGTTCATTCCTCCCGTGCGGCCTGACGCGGGGCGCCCTAGTAGCTGCTTCCCTGCCTACAGAAAACATATCTGAAAGTTTTTATCCACGACATGGAGCGGTCCTTAGAGCTTTAACTTTTATAGCTGTAATCAAAGACATACTTTTTGTATCTGTTGACTCTTGAACGTTTTCTTCGATAAAATGTTTTTATTATCAAAACTGTATTTTTACATCCATGTTTTAAAACTACTACCATTCGCCTGCTAAGTTTTCTGCATAAGCTTGCTAAGTTTTCCTTGATTTCTTGATCATTTTTTACGGATTATCATTCATCTTCTTCAATTGTTAATATTCACTATATTTATATTCAATAATTTGTAAACTTTTAGACCATCAAGAACGAAAATATGCATTGAACGTTCTAGAGGTCTTTAATTGTGTTCCGTTGAATTCCAGCAAATATCTGCCTGGTTTGTAAACCACTTACGTTAAGAATTTCAAGAGATTTGTGCCGTGGTGTTTATCCGAATACTAATAATATAATGTTTGTCTGATATAAGAACTGTACACCCAATTTTCCTGTGATGATTTGGAAAACAATAACAACAATTGAACAGCTTGGTGAAAGCCGTCATATTACATCGAACATCGGCATTCGGCCGTAAACCATCACTCGGCACCCACCCCACCCCCCATCAAATAATAAATCTACTGAAGAATAATTATGCAAAGCCTGTTTCGTTTGCTAATTCCCGAGCTGAGCTCTGATTGGCTCGCTGATCCCTAAGGATTTTGGTGACGTCATATATTAGCATAGAACTTCACCGAATAGACTACCCCAATTAGATATTAGATATCTTAAGTGTCTTCATAGTACGATGGTCTAAGAGGGTAGCTAAAGGTATGCTCTAGTGGGCGGCTACCCCCTCACTCCCTGGCCTTTTGGTTAAGACTAAGTTTTATGTTCACTCGGGATAGCGTGGAAGGGCCGAAATCTCTAACCGTAACGTAAGCCGATTCGCCGCCTCAGCTTCATAGAATGTCTCGGGGGAATCGTCCCATCTTTTTAGTTTTTT